AAATCCTATTTCCTATGGGTAGCATGTTGGTTCTCCAGTCTGACAATCTCTGCTTTCAAACAATATGTTTAGTGTAATTATTGATATGGTCAAGTTTAAGGCTACCAGCTTGCCATTTGTTCCATACTTTTCCCCTCTTCTTTCCTTTAATTGCGTATTTTTCTAATTATAGAATTTAATCTTCTTTTCTTGTTAACTGTACCTTTGTTTAATTTTTTTTAGTGGTTACATACAGTATATATTTTATCATAATCGACTTTTGAAGTATTGTGCCACTCCATACACAGTGTAAGACCTTATACAAATACAACATTATATTTTCCTTGCCTTCTTTTCATCCTCTGTGTTCTTGTTGTCATGTTTTATTTCACATGTGTTCTAAACCTCACAGTACATTGCTATGACTTTAAATAGTTAAATTGTTTATATTTTTAATTAAAAAAGCCATCAGACATTGACCCACATATTTATTGTTTCTAGTTCCCCTTTAATGTGGATCCAAGTTTCCATCTGCTATCATCTTCCTGTGGCCTGAAGGAACTTCCTTTGACATTTCTGTTGGTGACAAGCTCTGTCAGCTTTTGATGTCTAAAAATGCTTTCATTTGCTGCATTCAAGATTCCAGCCTTTTCTGGTCTCCTGAGACTCCTCTTTTACTTTTAAAGATGTCATTGCATTATTGTCTGACTTGTTCTCTCCCTTTTTTGGTGGTGGTGCTGGGATTAAACCCAGGGTTGTACACACTGAACCATATCCCCAAACCCCAGCCTTTTTACTTTTCATTTTAAGACAGGGTCTCCCAATTGCTCAGGCCGGCTTTGAGTTTGCTATTATCCTGCCTCAGCCTCCTGAGTGCTGAAATCTCAGGTGTGGGCCACTTCACCCTGCAGGCTTGTTCTGTTTCTGATAAGAAATTGGTGAGTCATTTTCATTATTCCCTTTGTGTGATAGTCCTTTTCTTTCTGTCTGATTTCACGATTTTATCTTTATTAGTAGTTTTCAGCTATTCCTTTTTTTAATATTAACATGTATTAATCATACATATTAATGGCCTCAGTGTGACAGTCCCACACACGCACATGGCATGCACTGAAAATCCAACCTCCCTTTTCCCATCTTCCCTCAAACCTCCAGACACTCTCTTGGATTTTCTAGGAGAGTTCTACCACTGAGCCTTGTCCTCCAGCCTTTTTTATTTTGAGACAGGGTCTCACTAAGTTGCCTAGACTGGCTTTGAACTTGGCAATCCTCCTGCCTCAGCCTTCCTGGTCACTGGGATCACAGGCATGGCTGCTGCACTTGGCCCTCCCAGCTATTTAATTTATGATGTAGCCTCAGGAGGATGCATCATTTTTTCTCCTTGTGGCTCATTGATCTTGAGTCTGAGAAGAATTTTCTTGGATTTATGACAGAATTTTCATCAAGTCTGAAAAAAAAATATTGTTTTTTGAAAATTTTTCCCATCCTCTTTCTCCTTTCAGTTAAACATGGTTAAGTACTTGCTGTGCTCAGGGTCAGCAACACTCTGTCCCCCCCTTTTTTTCCCCCCCAAGCTTTTCTCTCTTTACACTTCAGCCAGGCTAGGTTCCGATGCCGTGCCTTCAAGGTCAGTGCCCTCTGTCGTGTCTGACCTGTGGTAAACCTATTCCACCATGTGTTTCCTTCTCACATGGATTTCAGTTTGAAAGTCTCATCTGATTCTGTTACATAATTTTTTGTTTCTGTATTGAGATTCTTTGTGGGTTCCTTTATTATGAATTTTTAAATACTCGTGTGTTTATAATAACTTTTCCCATCAGTGCCTAGCAATAGCACCGTCTCTGACCCCTCTGAATCTGGTTGTTTCTCTTGATTCTCCCCATGACTTTGAGCCCTATCCCATGCTGCTTTACATGTCTGGCAGTTTTTATTTTAAGTTAGACCTTCAAAAGCTAAATACTGAAACCTAGATTTCACTGTTGGCCTGGGTTTTATTCATGACAGGTGGTGAGTTTACTTGAAGATTGCTAGAAATCTGAAGTTTATAAGCTCCTTTAGGGAAATTGCAGGGTATCCTTTATTCTGTGAGTCGCTGTGCCTTGTGTTTTAAGTCACTGTCTTTTTGAAAGTCTCTTCTGAATGTCCTGGGTGCTCTTCGAGGTCTCTGTACTCTGTCCAGTTGACCTTGAGCGTGTCCCTGCCTTGTCCAGCTCCAGGAATTGTTAGCCTGAGGCCTTCTGTCATCATTCCCCAGAGGCAGCCGTTGCTTGGCTTGAGGAGTCTGGGCTTGTGCACCTTCATGTTCAGCCCAGGTTCAGGGGACTCCTATGCCAATTTCTGGAGCCCTCCTCGCCCTTACCCTGACCTGCCATTTCCAGCTGCTTCATCCTCCCAAACTCGTAGCCGCCTTTCTGGCCCAGAGCAGTCGCTGTGCCTGTGCTGCAGTTGGGAAGCACCTCTGGACAGGAAGCCTGAGGCCTGGCTCCCATTGCTTACCTCCTCTTACATCCCAGTCCGGCAGCGTCCAGCGTGGAAGCTGTTGTTCGAGGTGTGGGTCCTAGCCGGCAGCGGTGCGTGATGGGAGGCCGGGTAGATTGCTTCATCTGAGTCAGAAGCAGAACTGAATCTTGAGATGGTTCTGAAGCCAGCAGCCACCACAGCTTTGCCCTCTTTGGTCATCACTTGCCATCAGCACTTCGATACGCTGTCCTCCCTGGAGGGACGGAGAAACGCACAGCAGCGTTTTTAGTTGTCCCAATAAGTAGAGGAGTGGCCAGTGACTAGGATTCTAAACGTCCTCTGAAGAGTGAGGGGCTGGAGATACAGCTCAGGTGGTAGAGTGCCCGCTGTGCATGCCTACACGCCTGGGTTCAGTCCCCAGCACCATCCACCCACACACACACACACACACACACACACACACACACACGTGCACATACGAATAAATAAGGGCCGAGTCTTTGTGGCTGTGTAGTCTCTGCCTCAGCCTGACACAGACCAGATGACAAGGGTCACTTGGAATGGTGACAGCGTATGGGGTTAATGCTGCTAAAGAGGCTCATAGAAGCACACGTTAAAGCAGACTCCCCCCCCTGTTTAGGGCAAGGTGTCATCCCTCTGAGGAATATTAGGACAGCCCTGTGGCTCCTGCCACCACAAGGGCAGGTGGTGCTGGCTTATGACCGTGATGGCTATGGTGAGAAAGCTCAGGACGGGGGACGGGCTGGCAGAGGGAGGGCGAAGCATTAGCTCCCAGACTCTTGAGAGCAGCCGGGGCTGTATCCCAGGCCATGTTCCCGGCAACCCTGTCGCCTCCCTGTGCCTCTTCCACTCTCTTAACCCGCCTTCCCAGATGGTGTCACCTACTGCCACTCCATCGACCTCTCAGAGCAAGTGGCACTGAAGCTCGACCAGAAGTTCCCCTTCAGCCTCATGAGGAGGGTCTCCGTGTTCAAGTACATCTCCGGGTCTTCAGCCGAGAGAAGGGCTGCCCAGAGCCGGAGGTCAGTCCCAGCACCTGTCCCCCTGGCTCCTGCAACCCCTCCAAGGCCGGTGTGGCCCGAGGGGAGTGTGGGGATGCGACCAGCCGAGGGAATGGGTGCACACCCAGGGGCCAAGGGCGCAGCCCAGCACGCCTGCCTCCTCTGCGTGATGCCCAGGGAAATAGAAGAAAATGGGCTCAAAGACCCAAGTGCTCTGGCTGCTGCCCCACCTTCTGGAGAAGGGAGTGGCATCTGAGGACACTTGCCCGTAGTCCTGAGTGACATGAAGAGAGATCAGGTGTGAGCGCCCCCAGCCAGTGTGACATGTTTTAGCACTCAACAGGTCACACTGAGCTGTGGCATGTGGCCCAGATGAGGTAGGGACAGCCCGCACAGCCGGCGGGGTTCTGAGGACAGACTCAGCCTGGGGTCTGGAGGGTTGTCCTTGACCACCAACAAGAGCAGGTGAGGCTGCTGGTCCCAGGCCAGCCCGTGCATTCTCTGGGGAAGCCAGGCAGGCCACCCATTCCTGGGGCTGCTTCGTTGTCACAGAGGAGGCCACAGAGCACACGTGGGTTCCCTTGACTCCAGTCCACACCCAGGTCTCCTCCCACCCCTTTCCCCTGTTCACACTGCCCTGCCCCTTGGGGTTCTTCATGGTGTTGTCCCTGCTGAGACTCCACAGCAGAGGACTTGACCTCTCCTGCCGTGGTCCCCCTGAGACAAGGAACTTTCTAGGAAGCCGAGTGCTGTGTTGGTGACCCACATCCCCTCCTCGCTGCCTGGATTCGGGTCTAGTTGAATTGGAAGCTGCTCCTTGGGGTTCGTTCCAGGAGGTGGCCCCAGCCTGTGCTGGCCCTGGCAGGAAGGGATGGATACCAGTAGAGAGAGAAGCACAAACCTGCCTTTTTGCTTTGGGCACGTAATCCCTGGCATCTGACTCAGGGAGAGACTTTATAGAATGAGCAAGTCCCAGTGACTTGGGAGGCTTAGGGAAGAGGATCACAAGTCGACCAGCAGCCTCGGCGATTTAGTGAGACTCTCACCAACTTACCAACTTAGTAAGATCCATCTCAAAATAAAAAGAGCTGGGCATGTGACTCAGTGGTAAATTGCCCTTTTTTTTTTTTTTGTACCGGGGATTGAACTCAAGGGCACTAACCATTGACCCACACCCCCAGCCCTATTTTGTATTTTATTTAGAGACAGGGTCTCACTGAGTTGCTTAGGGCCTTGCCTTTGCTGAGGCTGGCTTTGAACTCGCAGTCCTCCTGCCTCAGCCTCCGAACCTCTGGGATGACAGGCGTGTGCCACTGCACCCAGCCTTCTATAAGACTCTTGAGAGGGCTTTAGGGTTTGGGGTGCCAACTCCACCCAGGGAGGGACTCCCTTCTGTAATAACTGACACTAGTCACCAACCACAACTCATGCCCATGGAGGATGGCTCAATGACACTGTGCCTCCCTAGTGCCAGGTCTGATCCTGCTCCAGTATGACAGGCAGACGGGACAGGGAGAGGTTGTGGCCCTTTCTGTTCCTCACATGATTGGGGTCTGGTCCTCATTGCCAGGGCCTGCTGTAGACGCCCAGAACAGAACGTGTCCCAGGCAGCCCAACAGTGGGTCATAGGCGGCGGCGTGACGGCGTGTGTTTGGTGGTGAGGCAGCCATTTGGGGCAGCTTTGTCTCCCTGGCTGCTCTGCAGGAATTTTTTTCTCTCTTTGTTTCTGTTTTTCCTTGTTGTTTTGTTTGTTTTCTTTTGTGGTGATGGGGATGGAGTCCAGGGCCTCACACCTGCTAGGCCAGCATCTACCACAGGGCCACATCCCCAGCCCCAAGAATCGTTTAATTTCTTAATGTTATGTGAAGGGGGACATGAAGTGTCCTGTACCTGAACTCAGGCAGCTGGTCTGCGGCGGGGTCTGTGACCTCAGCACGCCCATTGTTAGAGGGGTTCCCTCCTGAGGGCCCAGGTAGGAGATTGACAGCAGGTGGCCTGGGCCTGGGCCATGGGCTCCCTCGGAGGCCACACGGTGGCGCTGCACTCTGGGTGGAATTGCTGTGGGCTGTGACCTGGCCAGTCAGTCCCTCTACTGGTGGGTGAGCAGCTGCGAGGAGGCCCCCCCCTCAAGCTCCGTCTCCCTTCGGGCTGCTGCCTCGCTGTTCGGGCCTCTGTTCTCTGAGATCAGCCCCTTTCCTCACTTGGTCCCCAGAGCTAGCCTCAGAAAATGACCAGAGTGTGATGTGTGCTGAGCAGGACGGTGGCCCTGCCCTGCCCTCTGGAGTGGCCTGGTGGGCCTTGTCACTGCTGGCTGAATGACCTTCCCTCTCTTGTTCCTTTCCAGGCTGAACCCTGTGCCTGGCTCCTACCCCACACAGAGCTGCCATCCTCATCTGTCTCCAAACCACCCTGTCACCCAGATGCAGCAAGCCAGCGGCCAGAAACTGGCCTCCTGGCCAGCCATCCCTGGGCACATGCCCAGCCTGCCCCCGTACCAGCCCACCTCCGGCCTGTGTTATGTGCAGAACCACTTTGGCCCGAACCCTAACTCCTCCAGCGTCTACCCGGCTTCTGTGGGCACCTCCATGGGGGTCCAGCCCCCTGCCCCCGTCAGCTGCCCTGGCACAGTGTATTCTGGGACCCTTGGCACCCCAGGGGCTGCAGGCTCCAAGGAGTCCTCCAGGGTCACCATGCCCTGAGAGAACATTTAGGGAAGACACCTCACGTCTCGGCCTTCTGAGGAAGGTCCTGTCAGCCGATTTTCATGACAAAACTTATTTATTGAATACCTCCTGTGCCAGGCCGTGTCGAGTACCTTGATACATGTCCGTTTCCACCCCCTTCGTGCTCCCATCGGCTCTGTGAAGTAGTTTACACAGACACTCTGACATCATGGGATCCTGTGGCCCTGGTGGCCCAGCTGGGGTTCCTCGCTCCTGGCTCAGGGCGCCTCCTAGAGGACATGGGAGGGAAGGGCAGCTGTCGGGCTGCTGATGGCTCTCCAGCACCACCTTCCTTCCTGTCTCTACTCTGCACACGCTCTGTCCCCTGCAGTGTCCCTGTGTCTGTGCTGGGCAGCCCCCAGGCCTCTGTAGTAAGTCTCCCCCAGTCACCCGCACCCAGACTCAGGGCCCAGCTGCAGTGACCTGTGTCATGTCCTTGACCTTTGTATAAAGAACCAGCCTCCAACCTGCCCATGGTGTGTGGCTTCTTTGATCTGGCCGAGGAGGTGACATGGGGATTGGGGCCTTGGCAAAGAGGGAGAGGGACCAAGGTTGGATCAGACCAACAACCATGCCCAGTAGGTCAGGAGTGGGGACCCAGGGGAGCGAGGGGCAGAAGTGTGGGGAGAACTGGAAGAGTGAGGCTGGCGGTTGGGCAACCAGCCCTGGGCAGCCACAGGGCACCTCCCTGCTCCCAGGAAGGAGGGGGTGTGGCCAGAGCTTGGGAGTGGGGACCACCGGGAGAAGGGCTGCCAACAGGACCATAGACCCCTCAGTGGCATGGATACTGGCAGTAATGCCACTGGAGAAGCGCCTGGCTTTGCATGTTTGCCAGTCGGCCATCTGTGTGTCCCATTGGCCAGGTTAACCCAGAGCCAGGAAGCAAGTGAGCCCAGGAAATGCTGGAGCAGAGCAGGACAAGGAGGGGGTGTGAGCTCATGGCCTGGCCAGCCCTAGGGACCCCTTGTGGCTTCTGGTCAGTGCCAGCTGCATAGGCACGTTCAGGGACACGACTCGTGGCCCCACCTGTCCAGAATCCAGATGGCCCACCTTGCTGACTTTCTGAGAGGTCCTGGGTATTGGGGTGAAGTCACCTGATCCCAAACCCACCCTTCTGGGGAGGACAGGCTAGTCACAGCCCTGCCTGGGTGACTGCTAAGACTTGAGCCAGAAAAAGGTGGTCAAGACACCAGATCTGCTCTGGGAAGTAGGGCTCACAGCTCTGGAGCTGGTGTGTGGAGCAAGCCTGGCGGGGCCTGGCCTGGAGCTTTGGACTCCAGCCACACCCTGCACTTTGGCCTTAGTGGCCTGTCCCAAGCCATCTTCCTCTGCTCCTGCCCGGGCCTGTACCAGAAGCAGGTGCAAAGGGTGCTGCTGGGAGTGGCAAGGTCATGTCCCTCCTTCCTCTGGCCTTCTGTATGAACTGGCCGGCTGGAGCTGCAGAAGACGGGCCTTTGGATGGCCAGGTTGGACCCAGAGGTCCCCAAGCAGCAGAGCTGTGAGGACCCTTGGGTCATTCAGCCTAGCCCTCCCCTCTAACCCTGGCGTCACTCCTGGGGCTGCAGGAGGCAGAGGTGGGCCACAAGCAGGGCCTGGCTCCAGCCTGCCCCACCTGCTGCTCGGGGACTGACTTCTCGTCTCCATGTTCCCCTGGACTTTTCCTGGGTCTGGCCACAACACGGACAGCCTTGGAGCCAGCTCAGAGTGGGACCATATCTCACCCCGAGGTTCTGAAGGACCTAGAGGGGATCTCAGGCCCCTTCCCCATTTGCCTGTTGGCACTGTCCCAGGTCACAATCTATGTGCAGCTGCAGGCTGGGGCCAGAGGTGACATGGATGGTAAGCTGCATGTATACCAAGGGCCACAGCACGGGGCCTGCCGCTCAGTCAGTGTTTGCAGCAAAGGAATGAGCCATGTACCCTGCCTAGGATGGCTCAGGCAGGACTGTCACCTGTGCACTGAAAGCTGCAATGGGGACAAGCAGCACTAGAGGAACTGAGGGGGCTCCTGCTCAGCCTGGGCTGGCAGCCAGGGAGTCTGGACCCGTTGAGTACCAATCTCCCACCCTGCCAGGAAGGAGGGAGGCATTCACTCCCGCCCCTGCTCACCTGCTCACCAAAGCCCTTAGACCCTCACCAGAAACCTCTCCCCGTCTGGCCACCAGGGAGGCTCGCAGATGCTATCAGCTTCCTCAGGACAACAGAGAGCAGCAGGCTGCCCTGTGATGCACAGATCTGTCCTGAGGCAGGGAAAGGTTCTCTCCTGTGTCCAGGGAACTAAGCCTGGAGGGAAGCGAGCGAGGTGGGGAAGGCGGGTGTGGAGCTGGTCAGGTAGGAGAGGCAAGGCCGCAGGGGGAGTCCTGTAGGAAAGGTGAGGCTGCTGGAAGTAATGGAGGTTGGCCCCAGGCAGGCAGTGAGCCAAATGGCCAGAAATGGAAGTTGAGGGTACCAAGTGGCTCTGGTGCCCCAGCACATGTGGCAGGGCTGAGGCTGTGCATAGCTTCACCACCTGAAGTCTACGTCCTGCCCGGAGGCTCCTGCTCCCCAGGTGTGCGGCCAGTGGAGGCCTGGAGATGGCTGCAGGTAGCCGACGCCTGGAGGGTGAGCTTCCTGCGAGTGCAAGTGTGGCCAGGTCGGAGAAGCCTGGGGTAGGATGCGGGGGGCCCAAAGGGACATCGCCCCTGGTCTGAGCTCTGACACGTCACTCAGACTGGACAACTGCCAGCGGCACCAGCAGCACCCCAAGCTGGACCTGAAACCTGGCTCTGGGGGACCCTGTGCCACCTCCAGGATAGGTGAGAGGCTGCCTTGCTTCACAGTCCTGCCTTGAGCTTAGGGCCAACACACACACACACACACACACACACACACACACACACTTTGGCTGAAACAAGGTCTCCATAGGCTGGCCTGTCACCCCTGCTGCATTCCCCAGGGAGCAAGGGCAAGGCCACTTGGGCCTCTTGGGGTGGAAAAACAGAGCTTCCTGCCCTCCAAGGTCACTGGGATGGCCCTGACATTCCCAGGGCCCAGCAGTCAAGCACACAGGGTCCCTAGTAGCAAACACACACACACACACACACACACCCGGCCTGCACGGGCACCTACAGACCCAAACACTTGACCTCACATATCTGGCCTTGAACCACACGCAAATTTCTGTTCAAACAGGTGGGTACCCACCCTCAGAAATGCACGTGTGTTTGAAGCACACCCACACGCTGTGTTGAACACACAGAGTCCTAAGCTTATCCATAGAGAGCTGGTACCAACGCGCACACGCGGGCAAGTGGGGCTTCGCAGGGTAAGTTTCCAGCAAGAGCCTCCAAACTCCCCCTCAGCCTGCCTGGCCTGACCCGGCCTCCTGCCTTCCCCCAAGCACGCGGGGTGGCTGGCCCTGTGTGAGATGGCCCAACAGCTGGCACCAGCTTCCTGGCATCTCTTCCAGGAATGGGTGTGGCCACTTGTGGCACATGAGGAACGGGACAGCAGGACAACAGGACGGCCCTCCCCTCCCAACCACCTATCACATGAGGCCAGCAATTCCACCGTCGGAGGGTCAGGAGCCAATGTTTGTCAACAGAAAACAACAGCTCTGCTTAAGGAACTCAGAAGACACCATCTTCTGAGCCAGACACGAGTGACCATGGCCCTGGAAGATGGGCTCAAGTCCCCTGACAGCATGGTGTCTTGTGGAAGAGGCTACATGAACTTCTACAGCCACAGAACAAAGAAGGTCATAAACCAGCAGGTTCACCAAATAACACTGGCGAGGGCATCAGACAGGTGGCACAGCAGAGCAGGGACCTCCGGGGCTTCGGAGGCTGCCCCCTTGTTTTCTTGGCTTCCAGGTTGGTGGGGGCTCTAGGTCCTAGAATCTTACTAAGTGTCACAGGATGACAGGTCAGATACAGAGATGGGGAGTAAAATGGCCACCAAGGGACTAAGGGAGCCCAAGGTCACTTGGGCTCTTGTCCTGCAAGGCTCCATCTTTCTGCCATCACCGTGTCTATCAGCTGGCCCGTGGGGTCTTGAGCTTCTTCAGAGAACATGGGCCCCACAGGTCACTTACCAAACGTGGAGAGAAGATTCATGGACCAACTCCATCCCAATGTGGGAACACAAGGCCCAGAGAGGGGAAGTTACTTAACTAAGAGCTTAGAGCCAAGTGGCCCTGGGACAGAGCCAGCTCAGAACCCGGTTCTCCTCATCTGGGTCATTGGAAAGAGTCAGCTGGATGACAGCTGGGATCACAATGAGGCCCAGGCAGAGGCTCTCGGGCCACTCGAGCCCACCCAGGGAAGCCCACCCAAGGCCTTGGCTCACACCTGGCAGCTGCTGCTCCCAGGCTCCTCTCAGTCACACCAGGAGAGCCACCAGGGCACCCTCAGTCACACTCTGGGGGAGAAGGTGCCGGGTTGGGGGGCTCTCCAAACCCTCCCACATGGTGGGGAGCTCTGGGGAGAGACCAGAGCCTGAGAGAGCAAGGAGACCAGTCACTGACAGGGGACACACAGGACCCCTCCCGGCCCCATCGGTAGCCTGGGCTCTCTACCAGGCAAGGAGAGCGGAGAGGCCTCTCCTGGGCCACCCATCCCCTCATCAGCCCCATAGTGGGGGGCCCTGCACCACTACCCCCCGCCTCTTCTTGTGCCCCCTCGCCAGCTCCCTTCCTGCCTCTCCTGTCTCCTCGCCAGCAGTGGGTAGTGCCACCATGCACTGATTCCCCTTGCCACACTCAGACCCCGCCAAGGCCCAGTCACGGAACCCAGCGGGGAGCCGATGACTTAACTGGGCCCTTCTCAGGAAAGGACCCTAGTCCCAGAGTCAGCAGGGACTGCATGAAGGAGGTGCCTGGCCCTGAGCTTCAGAAGATGGACAGAGAGGAGGCACATCACCCCAGAGCCAGCAGGACCCTGCGGGAGGGAAAGGACGTCATGCAGGAGGGAGCTTTGACGCAGCGACTGGGAGCCCTGCTGGGGGCGGAGGCTGGAGTGGGGGCTGCTCTTGCAGGCAGAGCGGGGGCCAGGTGCCTTTTGGGCTTTGGTTTTGAGGGCCGAGGGGTGCCCTGGCAGAGATGGCCTGGGCATTGGGAAGAAGGGAGCTCTGGATCCATGCCGTGAGAATCTGAACCGAGGCGCCAGCCACCCATCCACCCACCCCAGGCCGAGCTCTGCTGGGGCCTCAGAGAAGCTCTGCTGGGGCCTCTGCTAGGCCTCAGAGAATTGTGACACGGAGGCTGGGGAGTACAGGTTTGAGGGAGGCCTCCAGGGTGCCAGCGGCCTCTCCTTGGCTGGGAGGCTTCCGGCCAGTTACTTGACCTCTCTGAGCCTCTGGAACCTTCCATCTCTGAAAAGGAAGAACCCTGCCCGCCAGGCCGAGGAGAGGTGTATGTAAAAGAGAGGGAGGGGTGAAACAGGGTTGCTATCAAGTGTTTGGCTTGGGGACAGTTTCCCAACTGCCCTGACCTC